GCCGAGGTGGGTGGATCACCTGAGGTCAGGAGTTTGAGACCAGCATGGCCTACGTGGTGAAACCCCGTCTCTACTAAAAATACAAAAAAATGAGCAGGGTGTGGTGGTGGGCACCTATAATCTCAGCTACTCGGGAGGCTGAGGCAGGAGAACTGCTGGAACCTGGGTGGTAGAGGTTGCAGTGAGCCAAGATCGTGCCATCGCACTCCAGCCCGGGCTGACAACAGCGAGATTCCATCTCAAAAAAAAAAAAAAAAATCTAATAGCAACAAAGACTCAACATATGAAGTGTATGTATTTGTTCCATATGTCCATGAGCAACAACAAATCTGAACACAGTATGTAAGAAGTTGAATTCATCTTTGACATTATTGAGGTCTTTACTAAATCCTTTCTTAATTTATTTTACCCCATCTCATCAATACATGTCAAGGCAGCTTGCTTCCCAAGTATTAAAACTCGTCTCTGCAAAGGATCTCAAGACTTTTATATCAAGATGAAAATATCTGCCTTAGGTAAAGGCACCTTGACTATCATCTTCACTGGATAGCACAAGGCATAAATTAATTTATGGAATATTAGATGTGTTTGGGAGAGTACTGAGTGGTTCCTGGAGAATATTTTGGGGGGTAACAAATATTGACCTGAAATCGAACCACTTAAGTGAGCTTCTATTTTACCTACACTTAACTTGGCCTTCCCACAAGATACTTCTTGCAACATTTTATGAAATTTACCAGCCAAAGTTACTTGAGTTACTGGCAAAAATATCCATATATATTAATAGTTCCCAGAAAATGGAAACATGAACCCCAGTAACAAAAGCTCTGTAAAAGACCACATTCCTACCACCAAAATGTAATCTCTCTATGTCATTTAAAGCTAAAAGCAAATTTCGCCTTCTCTTTAAGGATATATTAAACTGACATGAAAGGATTTTTCTGCCTCCACTTTTGCTTTCCTAAAATCTCTTCTTTACAGTGCAGCAAGAGCAATGCACAGATCGGATCATGTCATTATTCTGCACAAAAACCTCCAGTGGTTTTCCATCACACTTAGAATAAGATTTTTAAAAATCCTTACTGTGGCCTATAGGCACCCTGCCTATATCACACCCTCCTTCCCAGACATCTCAGAATTGTCTTTCCTGGACATGCCAAGCTCACTTCCACCACAGGGCCTCTGCCCATTCCTGGGATATTCTTCCCCCAGATATTCTAAGGTGGCTTCTTCCTGCCATTCAGGTCTGCCCAGCTGCCACCTCCTCTCACAGGCTTTCCCTGAGCATCTAAAGTAACCTCTCCTTCAGCCCCTCTCTCACACTGCCCACCCATGTCATACTTTACTTTGCAATCAGACCCAGCCTGATCTAACATTTATATTACCAGCCTGGCCCCTACCTACCAAAGGAGCTGGAGTTTTCAGATTCTGGTGCTAACTTGAATTCTACCTGCCACTTCTCTACAAAGAGGCCTCTGCCGTGTTTCTACCAGTAGCAGGATGACTTGAAGCTCTCCACGGACATGTGGTAGGTGTGGAGGTGTCGATGGATATTGCCTTAGCTTTTGCCTTATGTGGGATTTTTAAGAAATGTGCAGGAAAGTGTATTAGGAGAAGGCAGGATAGAAGTTTTCCTTATGTGAAGAGAGCAGGAGAATGGAGGAAGTGACTGCTGGAAGCAAAACTCTAAGAAAAAAACAATTTCACATGGAGCTTAAGAAATATTTTGCTGTGTAATGTGCATTATAACTCTTCTCCCATCTCCCCAAGGCATCTTTGGTAAAGATGTCATTGTTGGGCTTTTTGTTTTCCATGGGACAATGCACTGAAAGGGCCTCAAGGGAAAGCAAGTCATCTCTGGAAAGCTTAGCCAGAATTTGCAACAGAAAGAGTGGGAATTTTGGAATCAGATGGTCCTAGGCTTGCAAAATAGCTCTTTTTCACAGCTTTAGCTTCCTCCTTTGTAAAATGGGGAAAAAAATAGTTTCTTTTTTTGCAAAGTTGTTGTGAGAATTAAATAACCTCATGAGGGACATTGTATGGATCTTGGCACATTCTAAGCCCTCTTTTTATATTGAACTAAAATGATCTTCTCTGAATCAATTCCCATGAATTGATTCTAGTTCTATTCTGCAGAACATTGATTCTTTAACCTTTTTCATGTAATGGTGCTCCAGTTTGTCTAGATCCTTCAAGAAGAGAAAATGCATATCAACATCTTTGTATCTAGTTGCTGTTAGGCTTAAAATGATGTCATTGTTCAATTATTGCTTTTATTATACAGTAAAAACACATTTAGAAGAGAATCAAGATAAATATTAAAAGTTAATCTAGTTACTGAACACATTTCTTAAATATTTAAGAAAAATAAGATCAACACACATTTGACTGTGGCAGCTTTTCTAAAGGCAAAAGATCTAATTTGGTGATTAACTAACCACACTGAGCACTCATTAGGTGTCAGGGATGTACCAGTTCTTCTATTGTATTTGGGTGTTTTTAATTATGAATAACAAATACAAAAATCAAAGTAGTTTAAACAATGAGGAGCATTTATTACCATTCTTAAAAATAAATTCCCAAGGTGGGCAATTCCAGGGATGACTCAATGGCTTTACAATGTGAAAGACCCAGCCACTTGCTATCAGTTCTTTTCTCTACATTACCTTGGTTCTTTGCAAGATAACTTTGAAATTCTAGGCTTACATACAGAAGTAACAACACATGGCTGAGGAAGGCATTTTCTCTCCTGTGATTCTTCTTATCAGGGAAGAAACCCCTCTATCCCCTCAAGGTTTCTCAAGTCCCTTTATCCAGAATTGGGCTACCTCTCTATGTCCACAGGCAGTGCTTCTCAATTTTTTCACACCATGACACAAATAGAAAGATAAAGTTTTTGTGACACAGAGGGGTACCTGGGTAATGTTGCTTGTGGCCAGTCATACCATCCCAGGGCTTCAGCAGCTCAGCCTCACTTGAATGTCCCAAGGGCTTAAGGGATCAATACCTTATCACATCTATGACCCATCTGAGACATACCAGGGTATGCTGGCACATAGATTGGTATGCTCTGCTCTAAGCTACAAAGGAGGGTGAGAGAGCATGCATCCATATCCAGGCTGTAGTGTGAGAAGGATCTGCAAACGAGGAGGCTCTGCCAAGTAGTAGGAAGTGGTGGGGCAACCAATTGCGTCAGTCATCTTTCCAAGGGTGCCTCATCTATTCTAATTTTCACAACACAGTTTAGGAGGAAGTATTTTGTGGAGGATAAAACCAAGGCTAATAATTTAAATGACTTGCCTGAGGTCACAGAACCAGTGAGTGGTTCAATTGACACAGCAGATGTAGATCCAGGTGTGTGCTGGGAAATGTTTAATAACCACCTTCCAAATGTAGTTCCAACACGGCTATTGGTTAATATTTTCATTTAAGATAAAAATAAAACAACAAATATGTATGTTAGAGCTTATTAGTCAATGATGTGAGTGACTTCATTGCTAAATTGAATGTTTTTGTGCTATTCACAATGTAACAGTTATAGACACAACATATCTTTAACATTTAATCTTCATAAAACATTTTCTCTGTCACTTAAGCCTAGACCAAGCTTGTCCAACTCTGGGACTGTGGGACACATACAGTCCAGGATGGCTTTGAATGCAACCCAACACAAATCCATAAACTTTCTTAAAACATTATGAGATTTTGTGTGTGCGTGTGATTTTGTTTCATTTTGTTTTGTATTAGCTCACCAGGTATCGTTAGTGTTAGTATATCCTATGTGTGGCCCAGGACTATTTTTCTTCTGCCAATGTGGCCAAGGGAAGCAAAAGTTGGACACCCCTGGTCTAGCCCACAACCAACAAAGTAATAAGTGAAGCCCTCATGTGTGGTGTCTGCTGATCAAGCTACCAAAGGAAACTCACTAAATGTGGTATTGGGAAGAGATGTACAATTACATATTATAGTGAATTTCCACCATGCAGACACAATGCATGTAAATTGCCTAAAGAACAAAGACAATAGTAAAATGTATTAACATAATTTGGAAGTGATGTTTTTATCACATACTACCTTTGTTTAAAATTTATTTCATTGGAAGTTTATATAATTTAATTTTTATTTCTACTTTTATTTATTTTTATTTATTTATTTTTGAGACGGGGTCTCACTCTGTCACCCAGGCTGGAGTGTAATGGCACAATCTCAGCTCACTGCAACCTCTGCCTCCTGGGTTCAAGCAATTCTCCTGCCTCAGCCTACCAAGTAGCTGGGATTACAGGCTCCTGCCACCACGCCTGGCTAATTTTTGTTTTTAGTAGAGATGGGGTTTTACCATGTTGGCCAGGCTGATCTCAAACTCCACACCTCAGGTGATCTGCCCACCTCAGCCTCCCAAAATGCTGGGATTATAGGCATGAGCCACTGCACCCAGCCTATATCATTTAATTTTTAATAAAGAGTATTTAACAAACAGCAGGCAAAATTCCTGAAAATTTAATAATCTGCTGTCATGAGCCAGTACAGACCAGCTCTCCATACCACTGACCGGAACTAAGTTCAGCACTCTTTCCACTCCTGCTGCCTTTACTACCAGCATGTAAAAGTGATGATGCTCAGTATCATACAGGGGACAAACCTGGGTACCTGTCATGAATTTCTGTGACCCGTTTTCTCTTCTGTAAAGGAGGAGATTAAGAGTCCTTGCCTTGTCTACCTGCAAGGGTTTTTGAGAGGATTAAACTAGTTAGTCTGTATGATAGTGCTTTGTAAACTGCAGAGTCAGGTACAGATAAAAGGCTTTATTATGATGACCATTTCATCACTGTTTTCAACCAGGCCACCATTGTTAAGGATGCAGTGTGTTGCTACTTTCAAAGGTATGATTTAGTTTGAGATCTTCTGTAATGCCCAGAATAGACAGAAAACACCCAGAATTGTTCTGAAGAAGCCCACTCAAATTTGTGCTAGTCTTTACTTAATACAAACAGCTACCTACATTGCGAGGAAACTATTTATTTGAAGCTTATAATTCACTCTTTTCTAGCTGCTGCTGGATTGTCTGACAGGTCTTCCCTGGGGTTATGGAATGCTTCTCAAGTTCAATAGTTGAATAAAGGTGCTTTTTTTTCTGTCACCCAGCCTGGGGTCCAGGGGCGTGATCTCAGCCCACTGCAACCTCCACCTCCCAAGTTCCAGCGATTCTCCTGCCTGTGATTCTCCTGCCTCAGTCTCCCAAGTAGCTGGGATTACAGGTGTGCACCACCAGGCCTGGCTAATTTTGTATTTTCAGTAGAGACGGGGGTTCCCCATGTTGGCCAGGCTGGTCTTGAACTCCTGGCCTCAAGTGATCCACTTGCTTTGGCCTCCCAAAGTCCTGGGATTACAGGTGTGAGCCACTGCACCCAGACTATTTTTAATTTTTATTTCTTTTAAAGTTGCTTTGCTTTTTGTACCAGATCAACTCACCAAGTTATTTGCTATGGATTATACCCCTCCATAAAATGTGGTTTCCTGATTATAAATTAAATATCCCTAATGTCCACATTGAAACACTCTCGAAACTTAAATGACTATAAACTATTTGCCTTGAGTTTGCTGAACTTGTCTTTGGGCTGTAGAAAACTCTTTTCTGCCAAGCTCTTTTCCACATCAGACCCTTTGCCCATGCTGACCCCTCTACCTGGAAAGTTCTCCCCTGATTAGGAAGCTGACTCCTTCTCATCCTTTAGCTCAAATGCTGCCTTCTTAGAGAGGTTTGCACTGAATACCCATCTCAAGTCATCTCCCTGATCTGTTTCCTTATTTATTTTCTTCATAGCGTGGATCACAGTATGTAATTTCCTGTCTATCTGTTGACTTATTTGTCTATGCCTCTTATTATTATGTTGGCTCTTTGTGGGCAGGTCTTGCCCATTGATGTCATTACCTACCTCCAGTGTCCCACATAGTGCTTGGTGCACAATAGCTGTCTGATGAACAGATGAACTTATCTGACAAGATCCACGCTAGTACTGTAAGGCTGTGGCCATATACGGCTATCTTGAAGTAAAAGCCTACCCTAAAGACTATCCAAGGCTTGGCCTGTGGTGTTCACAGTTGCCTAGGTTTCTCTCAGGCCCCAGGATGAGCCACAGTGGTAGCCTAAGACTGGTGGCTGCTCCCCTCTGCCCCACCCTAACGGAGCTGCCCCAGTGATGTCACACAGGACAGGATTCTCTAATCCTTTTCATTCTGTAACAATCCTCTACGCAGCTAAGTTTCTCATAACACATTATGATGTAGGGGAGGGAGGAAGGAGGGCTGAGGTAGGGGGTACACCCTCTCCCTGAATGAAATTCATTTGGGGCACTGTCTGCTCGCATGTTCTGCTCTGGGACAAAATGGATGGCAGAAGCTATAATTTGTACTAAGCTAATGAAAAGAGAGAAGACAAGAATGGGGAAGAGAAGGGCGAAGAAGGCAAAAAGAGAAGAGAAGAAAAAGAGAAGAGAGAGAAGGAGAAATGAGAAGAGAAGAAACCAAATGAAGAGGATGTGTGAGAGAAAAAAATACGAAACAGGTAGTGAGGGAGGAATTGTTGAACCTATGTTCTGGTTGGCTTTCTAACTCTCAAGTAGTGACTGGCTTCAGTGTAAAAGGATAGTGAGGGGTATTCTCAAATACTAGCCTCCTGAGGGAGTCACTCACATTACTGACATATATTTTGAGAGATCCAGGTAAGTCTGCCTCAAGGGTGACTCTCCTGGAGAGTAATTTGGGAGCAGGAATGTAAATCTTTTTTTTTTTAAGTCACAATTATGGAGGAAAGGGAAAGAAAGTATTGCTGACCAGACTGAACTTTAGACTCCACTCTACAACCCCTGTCCTCACCCCAAGCCTCCCAATTACTAGGCTATCAACACACGCTAAATTCAGGACTTTAAAGCCAGTCTTGTAGATAATATTTTTCTTTGTTAATTGAAATATAAACAGATTTCCAAAGCAGAGCAAGATAATTTTATAATATACCTATAAAAATTACTAAAATGTTATCATCATGGCAATATATTCCCACTAAAATCTTACTATGAACATCCCAAATATGTGTAGGAGGCCTGGCAAAGTCTTACAGTTCAGAAGATAACTTTCAATCCTGTTTTTTCAATGTTCTTTTTCCCTTCTATTAGTCCCCCCACCTTAGCAGAAGGTTTAATAAAAGGGGATATGATGATATTAAACATAGGTAATCAGACAATATTCATATCTTTGTTTCAAATTTTAAAATGTTAATCTTATTACCCATGAGTTTCCCAGTTCATACCAAAATGTCCCAGCAAGCTGTATTCAGAAATAAAAAGTAGTAGGAAGGTGCCGCTTCATCAGCAGACTGTATACACTGTGTAGACTCCTTGCAAATCTTTCTGTTCATATTTTCTATTTCTCTCCCTCTTCTGCTACAATTGACCCAGATTCTCCAAGTGCAGAACAGAGAGAAGAAAGGTGTGGAAGCCTAAAGGAAGGAAGCAGAAAGATAGGCAGGCTTTTCAAGTTTTCTACTGTCCACTACTGTCACTAGTGACCCAACTTCTGCTTACGAATAAGAAAATTTGTCTTTTAAGAGCGCTCCAAATGGTTGCCACATGAGCTTTTCTAGTTCAGAATGTTAATGAGTCCACCAGCACGCTACTCATGCTGTTACTTGTCTGGACTACTAAGGATTCCAAGAAGGTAGCGTTTCAAAGATCTTTGATCTAATTTCTTTTTTGGGGGGGTGTGGGGAGGTATGTGGAGAATTAGGAAATGTATCCTCAGATGATACTGAGACCAAATGCATAGTGAATTTTATTTTTATTTTGTATATCTGGAAATGATCCATGTTCATCTTCTTCTAAGAAATTCTAACCCCAAAGATATTGAGTAATTTTTGCGTTCCTTGAAGATTTGGTTTGCCAGTGACTGGCGATTATATATTTGATCCTGTTGTTAGGTTCTAGGTCTGAAAGTAAAGGAAACAGAACCTTCCCCAAAGTCATGTTGAGAAAATTGGAGATGGCTTTTTACAACTTTAAAAGCAGCTAAATGCTTGCTGAATGCCAGAAAGAATGAATAGTTTGCTTTTGATCTAAGAGTTGGGGCAACAAAATGGTTTAGGAGATAGAAAGTAGTAGGGTGCAAATTGCTGTAGTAAGCTCCTCAAGTAAAACAGAGAGGCCTTCAACATAAATTTACCTTTTTTACTGGCCAGAACTCAATTTGGCCAGTATAAGAACCTGCCTTCTACAGTGAAGTCTTTGTTTTGTGTGTGCATCAGAACATCTTTTAAAAATACGGACTTTTCTTATAACTTCTTTTCCTGTGAATGTGTAGGTCAAATTTGTGAACCGGTTAAGCCGCTGACAAGAGAGGGAAGGGCACCCCAGCCAATGGGAACCCAGGCTGGTGATGTACTGCTCCTAGGCTGCGATTCATTGGCTGCCTAGGGTTTGTCATTCTATACCCGGCGTCTGCAAGCAGCGTGGGTCGGGTTTTCTAGCTAGCTGAACTGGATTTTGGCAGCTGGCACGTGCAGTTTCTATTAACTTTAGCTCATCTCTACCTCTTAATAGAAGCAGCTGTTATGTTTCTGATTATTCTCCTGATTTTGAAAAATCCTATTTCCTTCACCTACCTCATTGGAGGTCGTTGGAGGTCCCCTGGGACAGAATCACGTGATTATCTAACATGTGCAAATAAATACAATGTGGAATCCCCTGAGCTACAGAGGGAAAACCTGCCAGAAAGAGCATGTGCCCCGTGCGTGAATCAGCTGCACTCGCACGTGGGTAGGCGGTGGTAGTGTGCGTGTCTCTGCCCTTCGGGACGCGAGGTGTGTGGCCGTGGCACCTGCTTGGGCTTCCTGCGGTCACTGGGAGAGGAAGGCTCTGGAGGCGTGGGACTCTGGGGTAGGGGGGTCCGGCAGCTGCCTGGGATCCACCATGGGTTCGAAGGGCAGCGGCCAGACCGCGACGGCGCCCAAGAGGGGTGGACAGCTCCGGGTCTGTGATCGCGGCTGCGTGTACACCATCTTCGCAGGGAGTGGGGTTTGTATCTGCAGGCCGGTAGAAGAGCCAGGGCTCGGGGTGCGGACGCCGTAGGGGTAGCTTCCAAGTCCCTACTTGGCCAAGGGCCAGACATGGAGGGGCTGTCCATCTACTGGGCACCGAATAGTCGCACATTCTGTCCAGTCCCTGGCGCCAGAACGTGAAGGCCCGAGTCCTCGCTGCTATCCGGGATCCGGACGCTCCCTTCGGCTTCAGCCTGGTGCTCCAGGCCGCAAGGAAACGGCGGCGGCAGCAGCGGAGAAAGAGGCTGGGTAGGGCAGTGACGTCATCTGTGGCGGCCCCTCCCCCGCCCGCCAGCCTTCGCCGCAGTTCCTGCCCAACGACATCCGGGTCTCTGTAGCTGCTCGCCGCGCCGCAGCTGTAGCGGCGGCGGAGCCAGCGGGGCGGGGCGAGCGGAGGGTGGGGGAGGGGCGACGCGGTCGTGAGCGCGCCTGCGCGGGGCCGCGCTAGAGGCGGCGGCGGCGGCGCTAGGGACGGGAGCGCGCGCGGGAGCTAGAGAGCAGTGGTCTCGGCGCCGGTCCGGCCCGCAGCTTCGGGTCCTCAGGCGGCTGCTGCTCCGGAACGGGTGGTTGGGGAGGGGGGGTGGGGGGACGCTAGACAGGTGAGGCGCGAAAGCGATGAGTCCTCGGCTCTTCCTCCTCCTCCTCCGGGACCCGCTCTCTGCCTCCCTCTCCAACGCCCGGATGATCTGAGCCGCGAGGGCGCCGAGAGCCGGGGGCCCGGACGCAACCCGGCTCCTCCCCTCCTCCGCCCCCTCCCCGGCCTGACCTGGCCCGCCGCTGCCGCGGTGACCCCCTCCCCGGCTGCCGCCGCCGCCGCCTCGGCCGACCAGGGACCTGCCCGCCTGCGGCTGCTCCGGGTAAGTGCGGCGCTTGGGCCGACGGCGGGCGGGCGGGCGGTGCGGGCCTGCGCGGCGGCGGCGGCGGGCAGGCCTGGGGCCTGTAAACAAGCCGGGCGTCTGCCCGGGCGCTCCCGGGAGGAGACGCGACAACTCCACCCCCTGGCCGGCCTCCTCCCCCGAGCCGGGCGGCGGGCGGCGAGGGGTTAACGCTCGGCGAGGGCGGTGGCGGCGAGGCGGGGGCGGGGTGTTTGTGGCGGCGGCGCGGGGAGGGGGCGCGACCCCCTGGCAGTCCGCGGCCGGGAGGGGTGTTTGTGGCGGCGAAGCGGGCGAGGGCCGCAGGCCAGCCTGTCCGGAGAGCGGCGTGCGGAACTTTTCCCGAGCGGGGAGGGGGCGTCCTCCCGCCCCTACCCTCCCGGGCGCGCCGCCCCTGCTGTCCTGGGCTTTGGCCCCTGGGAGGGAGGCGGGGAGATTTCTTTTGAATCGGGCTTAGCCTCGAAAAACCTAATTCTGTAGAAATTGCTTAAGGGTTTACAGGGGGCAGGTCTGAGAAGCTCCTTCAGAACTCAAGTCAGTGAGTGATGCATCCAGTTCATTCATTATTAAGGCATCGAACAAATCCATTGAAGTAAATTCCGATTTCTCATCCTTTTAACTACGTAAATTGGGTAAAACTTCTTGATGTTAGAGCTTGGTTGAGGTATGGTTCTGTTCTACTTGTAGATTTTAATTAAACTTGGATCCTTTTCTTGAAAGACACCTGGCTGTGGAGAGCCTTCTACCAACTGCAGTTTTAGATACGTTTTGAAAATTTCATCACCTGAGGTATTTTTCTTCTCTCTCCTCAAACACCACATGGTACTTACAAATCCACAAAGGTCATGCTTCAGTTGTCCAAGCCGTGGGATCTGTGTGCTACCCCCGCCTCACCCCGAGTTTCCTGCTAATTGGAATAATGAGCTGAATGTGTTTCAAGAAGTGGTTGGAAGAGTGTGAGAGATAGGTGCCATTTTCTCAAAGGAAATGATTTTGACATTATTGAGAGAAATTAGAAAATTTTAAACATTGTTGTGTAAAACAGTCTTTTCAAACTTGCACGTTGGGGTTTTAAACACAACCACTTTACTGAGTGTGTTTCGCTCCGAAGAGTGGAGGGATTTGTTGAAACACCACTCTGCTGAGACTTAAGACTTAGGGTTCCAGAGCACTGAGGAATTTAGCAGAGTTTGGCCCCCAACTCTCTTTGAAGTACTTCACTTTTATACTTTTATCTTGCTACATATTGGGCCTTTCCCAAAGATTGTTTTTCTGTAACTCCTTATTTTACAAATGAGAAAATTGAAAATAAGGAGATTTTCTGTTCTTAGATGTTACTTTTATTGACTTAATGCTTTCTTTACCAATAAATAATTTGAAGCACAAAGTAACATTTCCAAGTGTTACAGTTTTGTTCTTGTTACGTGTAACTTACATGTATCTGATTAAACTTTCAGTCATGTAAGAATGATTACTTTTAACCTGGAAGTTTACAGCAGTACCACATTATTGAAACTATAATGAACTTCCTGCACCACATGGCAGTTGCTTAAGACATTTTAATTTGATATCATAAAACATTTTTAGATCAGTGAAGTAATTACATTATGGGAAAGGTATATTAAGACTGATAATGTTTGAAGTTAACTACCTCGATTATATTTGAGAAATAATAGTCATCAAATTCCTTTTTATTTTGTTTGTATCTTTTTATGTATTTTGTATATATATTGTATATTTTTACATGATGGACTGAGGTATATGACCTGTTGAAGGGAACAGTGCAGTAGGAGACAAGGATTGTTTAGTCATGGCTATGCTCCAAAATATCTGTGTCCATGGACAAGTCCTTTAACCTTTTGAGTTTCAGCTTCCAAATCAGTAAAGCCAGTTGGGCAGATTAGATTATCACATGTACTGTCCAGTTATTACATTTTTAAATTTTCTTATCAATATTGTGTGACTAGTCAACATACCTTTGCCAAATAAATACCTGTTATGTGTGAGGCACTTAGATGTTTCGGTGTTCTAAGGCTGGATTTCTTTCTCAGTTCTGTTTTATTTAACAAATTCTAAGTTGGTGATGGTTCTTTAGAAAAGCTATTCTTGTAAGCTATTCTTGATTTTTCTTTGGGATTGGGATGTGTAGAGAAACTCTTGAGAGGGAGGAGGATGGAGATTTCATGGGAGACAGAGGGTGGTTGAGACTACAGGTTTGAACAAGCACAGGACCCTTGGTAGTCTGATGTGAAGGACATTATAAAAATACATTATGAAGGTTTTTTCTGTCACTTCAAGCTGGGTCTTATCTTGTTAAACCTTTGAAAATTCTGTAATACCTCATTTGTTTTTGAAAGAAATCTATGGCAACATCATTTTGTCATGTGGTAAATATTGCTAAGCAGTTACTAAATACCTATAGTCTTTGAGTTTGTTCAGATTATACCTAGGCCATTTGTTTACTCTAATAGCTAGTAGAATGTACTGCTGATTTTGCTTTAACTGTGTGTGTGCTTATTTGTAATTTTTAATCAAAGAGTGGCATATATCCACAAGGAACTTGTTACCTCTGAAATGCCTGTGAGAACTGGATTAATTTTTTAAGATGTAAATCTATGGTCATGTAGAAATAATGTAGCAAGGTGATATTTTGATGATCCTCTCAAATGATTATCTAACTCTTGCCTGGGCACCTGACTCTGAGTCAGTATACTCTTGAATACTTTCCATCCTTAATCAAATCAGGAGAAAGAGACGGCCATGTAAGAAAATTGACCCTGGCAGGGTTTTGTAAGAGTTAAGCAAGAAGATAAAACAAGGCATGGCCCTGTGAAATATATAAACCTTGGAGAAGGGGAGAAGGTATGGTGAGGCAACTGGGTAAAAGTTGTGTCGTCTTCTGTGTTGAGTAGTAATTTTATGTCACAGTGTGTCCTGTCTTCCATCTCAAATAACAAATTTTAAAACTAAGTTGTGTTTATTATTTTGCTATTAGCCAAGATACATAAATTAACTGACCTGGGATTATTAGCCATTCAAAATGAAATAAACTTGGGTTAACCTATATCAAAATCAAAAGATTATATTCTTTACTCTTCACTCTTTCTAATGTCTTATGTTCTCCATATTACATAACAATTTTATACTTCATTCTGAGTCTCCAGAATATATTCTTTGATGATTTTGACCTTTGAATGTCCTAGCTATCCATGTACTACCTAGATAATCTCGTAACCTGGCTTTTCTTTTGCTGTGGCAGGTCAGAGCTACAGAAAGTAAACAATTGAGAGAGGCAAGTTTCTATATACCTTTATCTGAAATGTAATAGACTTTATAATTTTTGTAAGAAACTGAGGAAAGGTACAGGCTTTTAATGTGTATCAATAAACTAGACTCTGATACTGTTTTTATAATATTAGAGATGTTTTAAGCTTTCCTTGAGTAAATGTGTGATAAAGGACGGATCTTTAGTTTTTATAATTCTTAATATGTTCATTTGGAATCCATTGACCAAGTGTATGTAGTATCCGTATTTAAGATCTGGATTAAACACGATTAGTTTTTGTGGCTGATAAGATTTAGAATTAAAATCTTTTGAGACTAAACTACTTTTAGATACAGAAGAAAGTAATGAAAGCCATACTTTCTTGGTCATTTATTTGTGTTAGGCTTTAATTTTTTTGCCATAACCCTCTAAAATATATGATGTTATCTTCATTTTATAAATAAGGAAATACAGGGTCAGAGAACCTAAATAACATGCCAGGATCAGATCTGGGTAGATATAAAAGTATTTTTTAAGATATTACTGAGTGGATTTTTCACAATTAGATGAACCTCCTTGTTACCAGGAACCAAAATTTCAAAAGCTAAACATTAACACTTACGATTCATAGATTCCTAGAGTTAAGCAAGTCCATGTAAGTTTATGTAAAGTCTTCCAGTGCAAGACTTTAATGTTTTCTTCTAAAACATTCAGAAAAGATTTAAGAAATTAAGTTCATTTTCTCATTCCCAAAGTTTCAGAAGTTAACGAAGCTAAACATTTTATGTCTTCAACTACCATTGTTTAGATTAAGGAATGGAATCCATGTTAATTCTCCAGTGGTTGATATCCTTAATGAAGGATCTAGGGAAATGTTTCTGAACAGATGTAATCAGTAGAGCCACATTGAAGGGCCCCATGGTGGACATGGTGATAAAACTAACCTTTGAAAGTTAGGACAGAGTTTGAGTCCCTGTTCTCCTACTTCCTAGCCAGGTGTTCCTGGGTAAGCT